TGAGAATGACATTAATAAAACCATGAAATATCGTACATGTTGAAGCTGTCTCTTGTTGAAATAATTATTTATATATTTATCTTTTATTAGTTATCTTTATATTTACAGATAGCGTATCAACAAGGACTGTTGATAGAGTGCTGCTCGCATGCTTCCTCAACTCGAGTAATTTAACAGTGATCAATCACCCTTGATTACCGACAGTGAATTAATCAATTACCATGAGTGCTGTGAATTGTACACCGCCAGTTGTACAAGACAGCTAATTCATCCCTGTAGGGTTGAGTCTAAGTAAATACATTATTATCAGTGAGGAAACATTGTATGCAGTGAATGCAGTGAAGAGTGCATACAGTATAAGAAGTTCGCAGTATAGGGAACAGTGCATTTAGTGATGGATGCTATGCAGGATACAGTATATGCAATAAAGAGCGCGCTTCAGGCAGTAAAGGAACCACTGCACAGGTACAGTGCAATCAGTGCAATCAGTACAATCAGTGCAATCAGTGCGATCAGTGCAATCAGTAAAGGGGGTTCAATTCTTCCAGCCAGTGTGAGTGGTTCTGTCAGATATGCATCTTAAGTCTGTGGCGTTGTTTACAAGATTCTTGCAATGAAAATATCAGTTCCATATATTGCAAAATCGTAACTGCTGGATCAATGAAGCACTCAAAATGACGCAATGTAATAAAAACCATTTTGCGATATCGATCCAAAATAGAGATACGAATGGAAAATTGAATAAATAATTAGTTTTTGAAACTGCCTCAAAATAAATATTATATATAATTGTCCAATATTTTCTTGGGACTTTGAAATTTCACCCAAAAGAAATAACGAAACATATTAAACATTTTTGGTAAAAAGGAACACGTTTCTGGGTTTCAATTCTGGCACAGATCAGAATTGCTCGTTATAGGAATTGCTCGTTACAGGAATTGCTCGTTACAGGAATTACTCGTTACAGGAATTACTCTTTACAAATATTCCTCGTTATAAGTGAATAGCGAGGTGCTAATAGGAAGGCAGTGTAGCGGTGATTGGCCACTTCGCTCCAGATATCATCAGGAGACGATACACACGCCAGAAATAGGAACTAAAAATGGATTTCCAGATATCGAAAGTAAGACAGAGCATAAATAATTATCGAGCTATAAAAACTGATTAAAAGTTAAAAAATGATACTCTCAATTTATCTGAAGTGAAAAGAAAAAATACTATCAAGTTAGCTGACATCAAAAAAGATTGTTGACCAGACCACACACTAGAAATTGAAGGGACGACGACGTTTCGGTCCGTCCTGGACCATTCTCAAGTCGATTGTCAATCGACTTGAGAATGGTCCAGGACGGACCGAAACGTCGTCGTCCCTTCAATTTCTAGTGTGTGGTCTGGTCAACATACTTCAGCCACGTTATTGTGACTCATCGCCTGCATCAAAAAAGATACTCTCAAGTTATCTGACGTTAAAAAAGATATTCTCAAATTATCTGAAGACAAAAAGGATATTCTCAAGTTATCAGCAGGTAAATAAAGCATTCAAAAGCTGTCAGAAATTATACGAAGCGTTTTCAGGTTCTGGAATAAAACATACAAGACGGGAAAGTCATCAGACTTCCCCGACTGGAAAACGATAACAGAAGATAACAAACGATAACAAAATAACAGAAACGATAACAAAAGGAAAGATATTCAACGAAGAGCATCATTTTAAAAATAAATGTTGAGCTGAACTCGGCTATAAAATTTTATTATACATATAATTAATTTTAGAACGATATATATATATATATATATATATATATATATATATATATATATATATATATATATATATATATATATATATATATATATATGTTGTACCTTGAAGCCAGAACGCACTTCTCGGTCTACTGAGCAAGGCCCGATTTGCCTAATAAGCCAAGTTTTCCTGAATTTATGTATTTTTCTACTTTTTTTCTTTTGAAATGATAAAGCTATCCATTTCACTATGTATGAGTTCATTTTTTTAAATTTGAGTCAAAACTAACGTAGATATATGACCGAACCTAACTAACCCTACCTAACCTAACCTAACCTATCTTAACCTAACCTAAACTAACACAACTAAGTCAATAATTTATGTTCCTAATATTATAAAATTGATATTATTCAAATAAACTAATTGGAAACAATTTATTGAAAATAAAGAAAATCACTCGGCCTATTAGGCGAATCGGGGATTGCATAGTAGGCCAAGAACTGCGTTCTAGCTACTAGGTACAACATTTATATATTCTTGTAAATACAAATTATTAATATTATTGTGTTACCACCAACAACACCTGATGTTGTGAAAAAAAAATAATCAGGGTCTGAAATTTAATTAGAAACATAATCCGTTTTGAAAAAAAAGAGAAAATGATACCTAGACGTACACATGTGCGTATACATGGAATGCTCTGGAACGCACATGTATACATGAACGGAGGAAGGTGAGTACATAAGGGGGTAGGGTGAGTAAATAGGGGTAGGGTGAGTAAATAGGGGTAGGGTGAATAAATAGGGGGGGGAGGAGAGAACAGGAGGGGTATAGGATGCTAAGCTTCGTCTGGAACACCTTCTCCAGGGGGGGGGGGAAAGCTGTTACCATGACAACAGAAGGCTAGGTATCACCACCCCTCCCTCCCCTCCTCCAAACAGCCACATGTCCTCGCGGCCGAGCCGACAGCGCTCAGTGTTCGTAGCTCCAAGAGCCAGGTTCGATTGCGGATTGAAGCTCAAACAAATGGACAATGTTTCTCTCGGCACCGCTCCTGTGCCCGGTAAGTCCACTACGGACTCACCATAGCCCGTGCTACTTGGAACTTGTTCCGAGTAGCTGAATCTATAACAACAACCACCTGTTCTCCACGGTCGCCTATACTCACCTAGTTGTACTCACCTAGTTGTGTTTGCGGGGGTTGAGCTCTGGCTCTTTGGTCCCGCCTCTCAACCGTCAATCAACAGGTGTACAGATTCCTAACCTAACAGACAGAGCCTGTGCTCTGTGCTCTGCGAGAGGCTATTTAAGCTTCGTGAGCACGTAACACTGTCAGTCGTGTGCTCTCTGTATACAAGTAAAAATGTCGACCGTCATGACATAAAATCACACAAGTGACATCATTTCTTTAAATGTTGCAGCCCCTCAGACGTAATTGCAAACGAAAAAAAAAATCCTTAATTTTATCGTGCGTTAAAAACGAAATGGACACATTTTTCACAACTACTGAATATACGTTTGTCTTTGCAACAGTGAGAAATAATGTGTATGAATAAAAATGAATATTTGGATAAGGTTTGAAACTTATGCAAGAACAGAGATATTCATCCAGAATATATTTCTCGGTAACTTAGTCTCTCTCTCTCTCTCTCTCTCTCTCTCTCTCTCTCTCTCTCTCTCTCTCTCTCTTCCGTCCCTCTCTCCCTCCCTCTCTTAAGGGGGGTCACCACGCCCTCCCACAGACGAGATTAAGCTGGACGTTGCAATCTAGATCAACTTTGCAGCAAAAACCTTGACTGATTTTTTGTCAGTTGTCTCCGGAAAACTCTCTCAGCGCACAGTAATTAACGAGAAGGGTTGGGGAAGCACTGCCCCCAGTCATGTACCTCAGACTGTGCTTCTCTGAGCTGCTCTCAGAACCCCAATGACACTTTCACCAATTTACATGTGCTAACAGAGTTATTATTTTCTCGAAAGTGAAATCGAAAGAAAGTAAAAATATATAGTAATGTTAATGAATATTACTGTTTTGCGTATAAGAGAAAGCTTAGGATAGGTTAGGTAAGCTTAGGATCTATCTTGAGGTTATCTTGAGATGATTTCGGGGGCTTAGCGTCCCCGCGGCCCGGTCCTCGACCAGGCCTCCTTTTTGTTACACACCCCCAGGAAGCAGCCCGTAGCAGCTGTCTAACTCCCAGGTACCTATTTACTGCTAGGTAACAGGGGCATCAGGGTGACAGAAACTTTTTGCCCATTTGTCTCCGCTTCCACCGGGAATCGAACCCGGAACCTCGGGACTACGAATCCGAAGCGCTGTCCACTCAGCTGTCAGGCGGCATGGTAGATTAGGTAAGCTAAGGATAGGTTAGGTAAGCTTATGATAGGTTAGATAAGCTTACAATAGGTTAATTAAAGGTGTTTGGATTTGTTGGTCATTATTTGTATTCTCCAACCCATCATGTAGCCTATGCTTTAAGCCAAATACTTGTACAAAACAAGTAAATTAATTACTATTTGACTAATACATTGTGAAAACGATTGCAGAAAACCTTTGTTGTGATGGGCTGGGCTTAGCAGCGTGTGGGGGAAGAGGGAAGAGACCCGAGATGCAGACTCAGGAAGAGACCCGAGATGTAGACTCAGGCAGAGACCCGAGATGTAGACTCAGGAAGAGACCCGAGATGTAGACTCAGGAAGAGACCCGAGATGCAGACTCAGGAAGAGACCCGAGATGCAGACTCAGGAAGAGACCCGAGATGTAGACTCAGGCAGAGACCCGAGATGCAGACTCAGGAAGAGACCCGAGATGTAGACTCAGGCAGAGACCCGAGATGTAGACTCAGGCAGAGACCCGAGATGTAGACTCAGGAAGAGACCCGAGATGCAGACTCAGGAAGAGACCCGAGATGCAGACTCAGGAAGAGACCCGAGATGCAGACTCAGGCAGAGACCCGAGATGCAGACTCAGGAAGAGACCCGAGATGCAGACTCAGGAAGAGACCCGAGATGCAGACTCAGGAAGAGACCCGAGATGTAGACTCAGGCAGAGACCCGAGATGTAGACTCAGGCAGAGACCTGAGATGCAGACTCAGGCAGAGACCCGAGATGCAGACTCAGGCAGAGACCCGAGATGCAGACTCAGGAAGAGACCCGAGATGCAGACTCAGGAAGAGACCCGAGATGCAGACTCAGGAAGAGACCCGAGATGTAGACTCAGGCAGAGACCTGAGATGTAGACTCAGGAAGAGACCCGAGATGCAGACTCAGGAAGAGACCCGAGATGTAGACTCAGGCAGAGACCCGAGATGTAGACTCAGGAAGAGACCCGAGATGCAGACTCAGGAAGAGACCCGAGATGTAGACTCAGGCAGAGACCGTAACACTGTTTAAGAACAGATCCAGTGTATTAATGTGTATGTGTAAAGTTGTTTTTTTGTTGCATCCTTAAATCGTAGGGTAAGATCTAATAATTGGACTTGGATCAGTGTTAATAAGAAGATTCTCGTCTCTGTAAATGATTCCATTCTGGATTCAAAGAAGTCAGATTTTGGATCCCAAAACAGTTAAAAGCCATCCCCCAAAATGTTAGTTTCCCACAAACGTTTGTCCCAGGTTAATCCCAAGTTGGTCTCAAGACCAATTAAGACAGGTCTCAACTTGACTTCATGATGTTCATGCTGGTGGATTCAACTGACTTCATAATCATTCACCAGGGGGATTCAAGTTGGTGCCTAGTCTCATGATGATTATAACTGGTCACAAGTTGGTTATATGTTGTTCTCCAACTGATCCTAACTTGGCCTCGGTATGACAGGTACAGCCTACCTTACAGGTTGCTAATTAAGGCAGCACCTCGAGTCATGCAAGGTAAGGAGCCACATCAGATCCTCCCCTGAGGGCTGCTGAGGGCATGACAACAGTCAGCCTTAACTTTGTCTGGAGTTTGACGCTTGGGGACCCTGTGTGTGTGTGTGTGTGTGTGTGTGTGTGTGTGTGTGTGTGTGTGTGTGTGTGTGTGTGTGTGTGTGTGTGTGTGTGTGTGTGTGTGTGTGTGTGTGTGTGTGTGTGTGTGTGTGTGTGTGTGTGTGTGTGTGTGTGTGTGGGTGTGTGTGTGTGTGTGTGCGTATCTAGTTGTGCTTACGGGGGTTGAGCTCTGGCACTTTTGTCCCGCCTCTCAACAGTCAATCAACTGGTGTACAGATTCCTGAGCCTACTGGGCTCTATCATATCTACATTTGAAACTGTGTATGGAGTCAGCCTCCACCACATCACTGCCTAATGCATTCCATCTGTTAACTACTCTGACACTGAAAAAGTATTTCCAACGTCCCTGTGACTCCTTGTTCACGTACCACCCGTGCTAAATAATTTATCTTTAGCAACCATGTCAATTCCTCTGAGAATTTTGTAGGTAGTGATCATGTCCCCCCTAACTCGTCTGTCTTCCAGTGTCGTGGGGTTCATTTCCAGTAATCTTTCCTCGTAGCTCATTCCTCTCAGCTCGGGACTAATCTGGTGGCATACCGCTGAACATTTTCTAACTTTGTTTTGTATTTGACTAGATGTGGACTCCACGCTGGAGTCGCATATTCCAATAGTTTTCCCCTCATTGTGGGCGTTATTACATGCTCTGTCTCTCATTATGAGTGATACACCCTCGTTACTTCTCCAAACTCAGGCAAACTGAACCTATATAAACCCTGGGTTTTTATACAGATTGTAATTCAGAGGAGTTTTACAGAATGATGTTGATAATGTTATAAAATCTATGCATTTGTGTTATTACAGCAGGGAAATATAAATATTGTTTGAATGAACATGTGTAAATTTATATTGAAACTGTATTTAATGACTTTTACGAGCTTCTTTTTTTTCAGTGGTAAGTTATTATTCATTAATGGAATAGATGCTAAAACATGAATCCACCAACACAATTAAAAAGCACACACACACACGGGGGGGGGGGATGGCTGGTGGATGAGTGGACAGCGCTCTAGACTCGTAACCATAGGAACCGGGGTTCAGTCCCCGTCACCGGCGGAATACAAATGGGTAGTTTCCTTCACCCCTGATGCACCTGTTACCTAGCAGTAAATAGGTACCTGGGAGTTAGACAGCTGCTACGGGCTGCTCCCTGGGTGTGTGTGTGTGTGTGTGTGTGTGTGTGTGTGTGTGTGTGTGTGTGGTGTGTGTGTGTGTGTGTGTGGTGTGTGTGGCTGTGTGTGTGTGAAAAACAATAAACAAAAATTAGTTTGTAGTTAGTAACAGTTGATTGATTAACAGTTGAGAGGCGGGCCGAAAGAGCAGAGCTTAACCCCCGCAAGCACAACTAAGTGAATACAAGTAGGTGAATACATGCTCTCACGGGATTAGGTGATAGACCAAAGGGACAGTACACAATGAAGGGGAACTGCCTATCTGTGACGATTTGAGAAAGAGATCTGGGAGTGGACGTAACACCTAATCTAACTCGTGAGGTATATATAAATAGGATATCGACAGCAGCGTACTCTACACTGGCAAAAGTTTGAACATCATTCAGAAACACACAGAAATCACAATAGCGTGACGCATCAAACGCTACAGTCGATTAGTTCAGTCGATTAAGGCAGCATCAGGGATTCTCTCGGACGTAGGTTCGAAACCTCGTCACGGCCCTTGTGGATTTGTTCATCTTTCAGAAACCTAAGTGAGGAGGCATTTAGGGCGCTTTACACTGCCTGCGTGAGGCCAGTCTTAGAGTATGCCGCGCCATCATGGAGTCCCCACCTGAAGAAACACATAAGGAAACTGGAAAAGGTTCAGAGGTTTGCGACGAGGTTTGTCCCAGAATTACGAGGGATGGGGTATGAAGAGCGCCTGAAGGAACTAAACCTTACGGCATTAGAAAAAAAAAGGTAGAGGGGGGGATATGATAGGAACATATAAAATACTCAGGGGAATTGACTGAGTGGAAATAGATGAAATGTTCAAACTGAATATTAACAAGAAAAAAGGGGCAGAAGCTGGAAACTCAGATGAGTCACAGAGATGTTTTCTTTTAGCGTGAGAGTAGTGGAAAAATGGAATGCACTTAAGGAGCAGGTGGTGGAAGCAAAGTCTATTCATAATTTAAACTAGGTATGATAGGGAAATAGGACCGGAGTCATTGCTGTAAACAACCGATGGCTCGAAAGGCGGGATCCAAGAGTCAATGCTCGATCCTGCAGACACAAATAGGTGAGTACAAATAGGTGCGTACACACACACACACACACACACACACACACACACACACACACACACACACACAAACCACAGGGGGTACTCACCTAGTTGTGTTTGCGGGGGTTGAGCTCTGGCTCTTTGGTCCCGCCTCTTAACCGTCAATCAACAGGTGTACAGGTTCCTGAGCCTATTGGGCTCTATCATATCTACACTTGAAACTGTGTATGGAGTCAGCCTCCCCCACATCACTTCCTAATAAGAGGGTGGGGGGGGGGGGGTGAGTGCTGAATAGGCAAGTATCTAGCAAGTCTTAAATTGGTATCAGTCTTCACTCCCGCAACACCCCAAGTTCACTACATCCCCCCCATTCCCCTACCCCCCTCTTCCCCTTAACCCCCC